TTCTGATAGAATGGCGCAACTGCAACCGAATCTTTTGGTTAGACAGTATCTAAATCCAGGGGCGCAATGGCTACGTATAGCAATATAGACAGGCCTATCGCCCCTATGAGTTTGGGAACTGGCCGTGTCCTATGAACATCTAGAAGATGAGCAAACTGGTTAGCTTAATTGTCCAGCAAGACCAGAGAGGACTTGGTGCTCTCTACGACAGGTATGGCAAAGCGGTATTTGGCTTTGTCTATCGTCTCTTAGGTGACGTAGGGCAGACAGAGGAGGTAGTGCAAGAGGTATTTCTAAGGGTCTGGCTCAGAGCGTCTACTTACCGGCCTGAACGGGGAAGGTTCAAGACTTGGGTCATGTCCATGGCCCACCACAGGGCGATAGACGAGTTGCGCAAACGCAGACGGCTGCAGGATGCCCTGGAAACGGAAGCCAGGCTCACTTTGATGGACAGCAGGGCACAGGAAGATACGGCAGCCAAGGGGGCGGAACACCGAGAAGAGAGTGAGGTTGTGCGTAAGGCCCTGGAGTCCTTGCCGGAAGAACAACGCCAAGTGATCCAAATGTCTTACTATGAGGGTTACAGCCAGTCTGAGATAGCAGAGTTGCTGCAACATCCGCTAGGTACAGTCAAGACAAGGATGAGATTGGGAATGCAAAAGTTAAAGACAGCTTTAGCATCACTTCAGGAGATAACGTGATCCATAGCCATATAGAAGACCTGGCAGAAGCCTATGCCCTGGGAGCCCTAGAGGCGGAAGAACGCCGGATGGTGGAGGGGCACCTGGAGATGTGCTCCGAGTGTACTTCTTTGCTCAGAGAACACCTGGAAGTCACCGCCGCCCTGGCACTGGCCGTTCCACCTATGGATCCTCCCCATCATCTACGCGGGCGGATAATGGACCAAATGGTCCCTGAGGAGCACGCCGGCGGCGAACCAGAACCCGCAGCTGCCGGCAGATCCGGCGGGAGCAGGACACGGTGGGTTATCCCTGTAGCCTCCATAGCCGCCAGTGTGATGATGCTCTTTCTTGGCGGGATTGGTATCTTGGTGCTCTCTCAGCAAAGCCAGGTGCATGACCTCCAGAGCCAGGTTGGAGAAATGGAGATGTTGATAGATGGGGAGCGGAGCACCAGCCAAGAACTCAGGGATAGGCTTAACGAGCAACGTCTAGCTACTTGGATCGCAGCGCTGCCCGGCTTGGAAGCCAAATCTATGGATAGCACAGATGAGGCGCCTTCAGCCACGGGAATGCTGCTTGCTGATCCAGGTAAGGACTGGGCGTTCCTTGTAGCACAAGGTCTGGAAGCGAGTCCGGAAAATGAGCCCTACCACGTCTGGCTGGTCAACAGCGGGACGTTGGTAAACGTTGGAAGATTCAGCGTAGACGAGTCAGGCTATGGCCAGCTGTTCATCAGGCAGTCATTCCACGATTTCGCCTGGCTGGGCGTAACTCGCGAGCCCCCGCCTGGGACAGCGGAATCACCGGCAGTGCTGGGCGTAAGCTTGGAATAGTTCATGCACGCATGCCAAAGTGAAGAACAGAGTCTTTGCCGCGGCGTGTGCGGTAGAGCAACCTTGAAGCAGCCGGTTGCCGCCTAGACCTTTCTGTTCTTGGTTGTATATACGGGGAGTCCATCTACTGCTTCCCAGGAGTAGTCGCTGAACATGTTGGGCCATTTTGCAATGGCTATTTCAGCAATCTGGGCAAAGACCAATCTTATCTCTTCTTCGGCCCAAGGCGCCGTCCTCTGCTCAATGACGTGTCGCAAGGTGCGTATGTTGCAGGACCAGCCAATGTTGGTTGCCAGGCCAATGGGCGCAACCCGCCGAATTGCCGAAGTAATCTCTTTCTTCTCGTCAAACGAGTCCTTTTCATTGAGCTCGAAGAGCTCGGCAAGCTCAACCTGAAGCTTGCTGAGCTCTTCAAATGTCCTGGCAAAAATGGTCATGGCCTCTTCAGATTCTCTAATGGACACCGGTGCATACCAGTCTAAGTCGGTCAATCGCACAAAGCGCAAGGACTCCTGTGACATAGCGGTGCCCACTCTGTGCCGCACCAACTCATGCGTGAAAACCCGGCTGACGTCTGAGAAGAAGAAGTTGGCTACTCCATGCTCCAACACGGAACCGTCGCCCTTCTCAATGATATTGGTCAGATAGCTCTTGTTGGTTCTTCTGACCCGGGTCAAGTTAGGATTCAGCTCTATACCAAATGAACGGTAACAGGCGCGGCCGTATACCTCGCTTATAAGCTCAATATCGGAAGGAGCATCCGACTTCCAATCGGGAACGCCCAAGTGGTCCAGAAGGGCTTGCAACCCTTCCTGATTGACCTTGGACTCGCCTATTAGGAACACTTTAGGCTCAACGGTATTGCCCATTCAGATAGACCTCCGGTGTGTATACGCTCACTTCAGAAATGGTACCTTAATCTTGGATGATACCCCAACTCTGGGATGTCCTCTTAGTAAGGACGTTTGGAATCCATCAAGGTACGGCCGGAGGAGAAACATATGGTCAGCTGCGGCAGGATGACTTCAGCAAACAGGGAGAGCGCTCTTGCTCTATTGAGGTCCTTTCTCAACGAAGACGAGCATTACCTGGACAGCAGCGCAGCTTACGGTCACAGCGGGGACGCAGCGCTCCATGACTCCCTAGACCTTTTCCTGAATCGACCCGAGTTGGGGTTCGTCTGGCTGGCCTACGAGGAAGAAGAGGCCATAGGGGTCTGCGTTGTCAGCTACGCGATATCCACGTCCATAGGAGGAGTGGTGGCAAAGCTGGACGACATGTTCATAGCAAGTCAGAAGCGCCGCGCCGGAGCCGGATCGGAAATGATTAGCCAGCTTAAAGACGAGCTCCGTTCACTCGGTATACTGCGCATAGATATCGGTGTACACGTCAGAAACAGTGGAGGACGGCGTTTCTATGAGAGGCTGGGCTTTATGCCACTCAATGAGGAGCGAATGGCAACCCTGCTGACAAGCTAGGTTACCAGCAGAAGCGCCGGGGTCTCCAAGAGCCGCTTCATTTCAGCAAGGAACTGAGCACTTTCTACCCCGTCAGAAACGCGGTGGTCAATGGAAAGCGTGACCTTCATCATCTGCCGCACTACTACCTGATCGTCGGCTGCCACCACAGGCCGCTTTTTTACGGCGCTGATCGCCAGTGTCGCAGCTTGGGGGGGCAGTATGATGGCACTGAATTCGTCAACGCCAAACATACCCAGGTTACTGGTGCTGAAGGTGCCGGTGTATTCTTCCTGGCGCAACCTGCCCTGCCCGGCACGTTCCGCCAAGTCCTTGCTTGCGATAGCCAGGTCCACAAGGGATTTGTCCTGCGCATTGACTATGGCCGGAACCATCAATCCCTGTTCCGTAGCAATGGCCATACCCAAGTGAATGTAGGGATACGTCTCCAAGTAGTCGCCTCTGTACGATGCGTTTAAACCGGAATGTTTCTTCAAGGACGCAACGGTGGCCTTCAAAACCATATCGTTAACTGAAACACGCCGCGCACCTTCAAGGTCCTGGTTGATCTGAGAGCGCAGGGCCATGGCTTCCGTCATATCTATTTCAATGGTTATATAGAAGTGGGGCGTGCCGTTCTTGCTCTGCGAGGTAGACCGAGCTATGCCCTGCCTCATGCGGCTAAGCTCTACTCGCACAGGCTCCTCCACTGGCGTAGGGACGGCCGGTGCGACATGCGACGGAGGGGAGGGTTCTTGGCTCGGCTCAAAGTTCAACACATCTTCACGGGTGACGCGCCCTCCGGGGCCCGTACCCTTAACCTGGGATAGCTCTATGCCACGTTCCTCCGCCAGCTTCCTAGCGACAGGCGACACTTTGACCCGCTCGCCATCAGCGGCGGGTTGTGTTTGAGATATGGGAGCCGGCGAGGCAACTTCAGCGGAATGGGCATCGCCGGAGGCCTGGGCCGGCGCCGGTGCTTCGTCCACAATGAGTCCGCCAATATCCTCATCGGCACTCCCAATAATGCCTATAGGGTAACCAACGGGAACGGTTGCGCCTTCTGTGGCCAGGATCTTGCGGAGAAGGCCGTTAGCCGTGGATTCCATTTCCACCACTGCTTTATCGGTCTCTATCTCAGCGACAGGTTCGCCGCGCTTGACTTCGTCACCCTCCGACTTGATCCAGCGGACTAGGGTACCTTCCACCATGTCATAACCCATCTGGGGCATCAATACCTGCGTAGCCAGAGTCGACCTCCTCTTCGACCTATATGGTGGGTCGAAATTGCAATTGTGCTGTTTTCAGCTTCCCAGCTCTTCACGAACAGTTTTGACAACGGAATCTTCACGCGGCGCCACCAGTGGCTCCAGGCTCATTGAATACGGGGTGGGTACGTCTACGCCGCCCAGCCTGGCAACGGGTCCGTCCAGGTAATCGAAAACTTCGCGCTGGACAGCGCTGGCTATCTCTCCGCCAAAAGCACCTGTTTGCCAGGCCTCTTCCAGCACCAGAGCGCGCCCCGTCCGCTTCACAGATTCAAAGACAGTCTCTTTGTCCCAAGGACGCAGGCAGCGAAGGTCCACAACCTCTACATCGACGCCCTCTTCCGCCAGTTTCTCGGCAGCAGCCAACGCTACGTTTACCATTCTGGAGTACGCAATGATGGTGAAGTCCTTTCCCGCTCGCTTGACATTGGCCTCTCCAACAGGGACCTCATAGTAATCTTCCGGCACCTCTCCCCTTGTACTATACAAGAGTATGTGCTCTATGAACATCACAGGGTCTTGTTCCTTGCGTACCGAGCGGAACAAGCCCAATGCATCATGGGGGGTTGCGGGAATGACCACTTTCAGCCCGGGAACGGAAGCGTACCAGCCCTCCAAGTTCTGCGAATGTGTGGCCGCAAGCGCCGCACCGCCGCCGGTAACAGTGCGAATGATGACTGGCACACTGAACTGGCCACTAGACATGTAGCGGATTTTGGCGGCGTGATTCACAATCTGGTCAAGGGCCAGCAGTGAGAAGTTGATTGTCATGATCTCAACAATGGGGCGAAGGCCCACCATGGCCGAGCCGGTGCCGATGCCCACTATCCCCGACTCAGATATGGGAGATTCGACGATTCTGCTCGGACCGAACTCGTCCAGGAAACCGGCAGTTACCGCGTAAGAACCGCCGTAAGGGCCAATATCCTCGCCAATAATGAAGGCCCTCTCATCTTCCCGCAGGGTCTCCCTGAGAGCCCGCGCCATGGCTTCTCTGTAGCTTATCTCAGGCATCTATTCCCTCTATGGTAGTTGAGCATAGACGTTGCGGTACAGGTCTTCAGGAGATGGAAAGGGGCTCTCCTCAGCAAAGGCAATGCTCTCCTCTACCTGCTTCTCCACCTCTGCGCTTATAGCGTCCAATTTCTTCTGAGTGGCCATTTTGCTGGACAAAAGCCATTCACCATACTGGGCAATTGGGTCAAGCTTTCTGTACTCTGCCTCTTCATCCTTGGACCGATATAGTACGGGGTCAGCCATTGAGTGTCCACGGAACCGGTAGGTGCGTGCTTCCAAGAAATACGGGCCGTTGCCGGAACGCACGTGCTGCACGGCTGTCTCCGCGGCCTCCCTAACGGCAAGGACATCCATTCCATCGACTTGGGCAGAGGCTATGCCGTAGGACTCAGCCATCTTGTGCAGCTGGGTATTGGACATCGATTGACTCAACGGAATACCCATGCCGTAGAGGTTGTTTTCACAAATGAATACAACGGGAAGGTTCCATAGTGCAGACATGTTCAACACTTCGTGAGCCTCACCTTCATTGAGAGCACCATCTCCAAAGAATGTGGCTACCAACCTGTTGTCGTTCAAGTAGTTGAATGCAAACCCCATCCCGGTAGAAAGGGGCAGATGTCCCGCGACAATTGCATAGCCGCCAGCAAAATTCAGCGAAGCATCAAAGAGGTGCATGGAACCACCCATTCCCTTGGAGCAGCCCGTAGCTTTACCAAAAAGCTCCGCCATCACCGCATTGACGGACAAGCCCCTTGCCAGGGCGTGTCCGTGATCCCTGTAATGGGTAGTGACGTAGTCATCCCTGCCAAGGGCATGTATAGCCCCTACGGCCACAGCCTCTTGTCCAATATACAAATGCAAAAAGCCCCTGATCTTACCCAGCATGTACTGCTCCGCGGCCCGTTCTTCAAACACTCTGAGCAACGCCATCTGCCTATAGAAGTCAACGAGGGTTGCCTTGTCCAACTGCTCCGCGACCTTGTAGGTAGTAGTCTTCATAGCGCCTTTTCCACCTATATGTGAATAGCCTCGCCGTCCGCAGCGAGAGCAGCCTCTTTCAATGTTTCAGAAATAGTGGGATGTGAATGGACCAGCCAGCCTATCTCTTTAGTGGTACCTTCCAGGTGATGCCCCAATGACCATTCGGCTAGCATTTCTGTTACATCGGGGCCTATCATGTGAGCGCCTAGAATTTCGCCATACTTCTTATCGGCCACAACCTTGGTCATTCCCTCAGCATCGCCTATGGCTAGTGCTTTGCCGCTGGCCTGGAAGGGGAACTTGCCAACTTTTACATCGTATCCTTGCTCTTTGGCCTGCTGCTCCGTAAAGGCCAAAGCTGGCAACCTGGGGATGACAGTACGTAGCCCTGGGCATGAACTGATAGTCGAGAGGGGGTGTATCCAAGCCGGCTATCCGTTCAGCAGTCATCACCCCCTGCGCCATTCCTACGTGTGCCAGCAGCATGATACCGGTAACATCGCCTATAGCATATACGCCTGGAACGTTTGTAGCCATTTCAGAGTTGACTTTGACAAACCCGCGGTCAAGATCAAGGGCTATTTTGCTTGATCCAATCTCTTCCGTATTGGCCTGGACCCCGGCCGCAATTAGCACCAGGTCGCATTCCAAAGTGCTGGCTTCTTCCCCTCTCTGGATCTCAAGGCTAATCCCCTTCTTCTTCACACTCGCCTTGGACACCTTGGCAGACGTGTGGAAATTGATGCCTTGGCGAGTAAACGACCTCTCCAAGAAACGGCTGATCTCTTCATCTTCATTGGGAAGGAGATGCGGCAGTAGTTCTACTATTGTGACTTCCACACCGTAGGCGTTCCAGAGATAGGCAAACTCCGCGCCGGTAGCGCCTCCACCCACAATGACAACTCTATTGGGAAGTTTCCGCATCTCCAGTGCTTCCCTGCTGGTGATGACCTGTTTTTTGTCTATTTCCAGGCCCGGGATGGAGCGGGCGCGGGCACCGGTGGCAATGATGATGTTGGAAGCGGTGATTTTCCGGCCGTCGGGAGCTATCTCCAGGGTATTCGCATCAGAGAAGCTGGCTTGTCCTTTGATATGCTGGACTTTGTTCTTCCTCAGCAGAGCAGCCACACCCTTGGTCAATGTGTCCACCACCCGCCTGCTTCTGTCAATAGCTTTCCCAAAGTCGGCTTGGACGTTCTCTACGCTGATTCCAAAGGCCTCTGCCCTGCGAAAAAGCTCCAGAACTTCAGCGTTCTTCAAGAGAGCTTTGCTGGGGATGCAACCCCAGTTCAAGCAAACGCCGCCCAGGGTGTCGTCTCTTTCAATAACAGCAGCCTTCAGACCCAACTGCCCGGCTCTTATTCCCGCCACATATCCAGCCGGCCCGGAACCTATAATCGCAACATCGTAATCAGGCACTCGCTGCTCCGTCACAAGATTTGCCCATAGTATAAGTTTGTTACTACCCGTAATGTCTATAGCCTAGAGGCCTTGGCTCGGCCATCATAGAGAATAACTATGGGAGCCAGAGGTGTTATCAATGGCTCATAGGCGGTTTACAGGATATCAGGTTAATTCTCAGCCCGCTCTGGGTAGACTATCCAAGGTTTGAGGCAAAATTGGGCAGAAATCATGCCCAAATGACTAGCCTAAGCCGCCTAAGTCTGGTATAAACTTGTGTGTACATTCCTGAACAAGGAGGAATCATATGCAGGGTTATTGCGTTAAGTGCCGAGCATCAAGGGAGATCGGGAACCCACAGGCCATTACCATGAAGAATGGGCGTCCCGCTACACAGGGAGTCTGCGGCACGTGCGGCACCAAGATGTTCAAGATTGGCAAAGCGTAAGTTTGACCGATTTATCTCTCATCTTTCAGGCTAGTTTAGAAGCGGGGGGTATTCCTCTTTAACGCTTCTGAAGATATTAGCCCAGGGCAGTTTAATCTGGCGTTTCCGGCTAGGTTGCCTTGGGCTATTCTATTGGTTGGGTTAGTAAAACCGTACCAAGCTCGTTTCTCATGATTGTTGGAGTACCTACAGAAACGTACCCTAGCGAACGTCGCGTGGCCCTTGTGCCTGCGGTGGTGCCCATGCTTTCTCGCATTCAGGTGGACACCGTCGTTCAAGCAGGCGCGGGCAAAGAAGCAGGCCTTCCAGACCAACTATACACGGAACAAAACGCGCAAATAGCCAAGAGCCGTGAAGAGCTCTTTGATTCCGCCGACATTGTAATGCAGGTGCACGGCCCCGGCGCCAACGCTGAAGCTGGAAAGAGCGATGTAGCGCTACTGAAACCGGGGCAGGTCCTCATTGCGTTGCTGGACCCTCTCAATGCTGTTGAATCAACGCGAGAGTTAGCCGAAACGGGTGTTACCGCATTCGCACAGGAGATGGTGCCCAGAATCAGCCGCGCCCAATCCATGGATGCCTTAACCTCCCAAGCTACCATCGTTGGGTACAAAGCGGTTCTGTTGGCGGCCGAGATGCTGAACAAAGATCTTCCCCATGATGATGACGGCCGCGGGCACCATTACACCCGCCAGGGTCTTTGTGGTTGGGGCCGGTGTAGCCGGGCTGCAAGCTATTGCCACCGCTCACCGTCTAGGAGCAGTGGTCCAGGGTTACGATATTAGACCCGCCGTGAAGGACCAAGTGGAGAGCTTGGGCGCAAAATTCGTGCAGCTTGAACTGGATACGGGAGAAGCCGAGGCCACGGGAGGATATGCCCAGGCTATGGGAGAGGAGTTCTACAAACGCCAGCGCGAGTTATTGTCGAACGTGGTGGCCGATAGCGATGTTGTCATTACCACTGCCGCCGTTCCCGGAAGGAAGGCGCCTATCTTGATAACGGAAGAGATGGTCAAAGCCATGAATCCGGGCTCCGTGATAGTAGACGTGGCTGCTGAAGGCGGAGGCAATTGCGAACTGACCAAGCCCGCCGAAACGGTAGAACAGTACAACGTAACAATTATGGGACCAACAAACCTGGCATCCTCTATTCCGCTGCACGCCAGCCAGATGTACGCCAGGAATCAGCTTTCCTTCCTCCGCAATATAGTCAAGGATGGCGATTTGAATCTGGATATGTCCGACCAAATCACAAGAGACAGCTTACTCACCCATAACGGCGAGGTGGTGAACAATCGTGTGCGGGAAATGCTGGGCATGTCTCCACTCGACGACGAAGCAATGAAGGAAGGGAGCGAGTCCTGACATGGAAATCTTCATAGCAGGACTGACCATATTTGTGCTGGCTGTCTTTGTGGGCTTTGAAGTCATCACCAAGGTACCACCCCTGCTGCACACGCCGCTCATGTCCGGCGCAAACGCCATGTCGGGGGTTACCTTGGTTGGAGCCGTGGTAGCCGCAGGCGTGGAAGAGCCGGCAATCGCCAGCATTCTGGGCGTAATAGCCGTAGCGCTAGCTACGGTAAACGTAGTCGGCGGGTTTCTGGTAACCCATCGCATGCTTCAGATGTTCCGCAGGAAAGACCAATAATGACCATCGAAGCTAGCATAGTAAACCTCGTCTACCTTATCGCCGCCGTCCTGTTCATCTTCGGACTTAAGAGCCTCTCCCATCCCCGGACCGCCGTCAGGGGCAACATCATGGGCGCCAGCGGCATGCTCATTGCCGTGATAATCACCCTGTTCGATCAGCAGATAGTGCGGTTTGAGCTGATCTTGGTTGGCCTCGTCATTGGCGCATCGATAGGAGTAGTGCTGGCGACGAGGGTGGCCCTAACCTCCATGCCCCAGCTTGTAGCGTTGTTCAACGGCCTAGGCGGCGCCGCCTCCATGCTGGTGGCTGGCGCTGCTTTGGAGCAAGAGCTTTTCAAGGGGACAGACCTGGGGCCTGCAGTTCACCATAGCTTCCGGCCTCTCCGCCCTCATTGGATCGGTTACTTTGCTGGGCAGCTTGGTCGCCTTTGGCAAGCTCCAAAGTCTTATTACAGAGTCGCCCGTTTTGTTACCAGGGCGTCATGTACTCAACATCCTGCTGGGGCTGGTCTCTGTTGGCTTGGTGGTATGGCTAGCTATAGATCCCTCTAGCAGCGTCCCGTTCTGGGCCTTGGTAGCAGTTGCAGCGGTATTCGGTATCACCCTAGTCGTACCCATTGGTGGAGCGGATATGCCCGTGGTCATATCTTTGCTCAACTCCTACTCTGGCCTGGCCGCCGCCGCCACGGGCTTCGTTCTTGAGAATAATATGCTGATAATCGCAGGATCGTTGGTGGGAGCCGCCGGCCTCATCCTGACCCGCATCATGTCTAAGGCCATGAACCGGTCTCTGACCAACGTTCTCTTTGCCGGCGTGGGCGCTGTGGCAGCCTCTGCGGCGGAGGCTGACGAGGTGTACGGGGGCAAGATAAAGGCGGCCGCGGCTGACGAAATAGCCATGCTTATGGAAGACGCGCGCAGGGTCGTCATAGTGCCCGGCTACGGAATGGCGGTAGCGCAAGCTCAGTTCGCAGTACGGGACCTAACCAATCTGCTGGATTCCAAAGGCGTTGAAGTTGAGTTTGCAATCCACCCGGTAGCGGGCCGCATGCCCGGTCATATGAACGTCCTGCTAGCTGAAGTGAACATACCGTACGAGAAATTGCGAGAGATGGACGACATAAATCCCAGCTTTGAGCAAACGGACATGGTGCTTGTGATTGGCGCCAACGACGTAGTGAACCCCGTGGCCAGAGACATGGACGATCCCTCCAATCCGATAGCCGGCATGCCTATTCTGAACGTGGACCATGCGCGTACGGTGGTGGTGATCAAGCGCAGCTTGAGCCCGGGGTTTGCCGGGATACCTAACCCACTTTTTGCTGCGGATAACACGTTGATGTTCTTTTCGGATGCCAAGCAGGCCGCGTTAGACCTGGTCTCCGCAATAAAAGAGGTCTAACTTCCAGCGGCTTGAGTGGATTGACTGGGAATCTGTTGACACACAGTGCCAATGGGTTTATGATGCAAATGCAATCGGCAGCGGCATCGCCGTCCGATATTTGCACTTGTGTTAGAACGCTAACAAGTGGATTGGTGGAAGAAGAGTAAGGTATAACGTGAGAGTTTGCGGAGTTTGGATCCTGGCTCAGGACGACGCGATGCGAGCGCGCTTAATGCATGCAAGTCGGACGGTGAAGCCCCTTCGGGAATAGTGGCGAACGGCTGAATAACGCGTAAGTAACCTACCCCCGAGTGGGGAATAACTCCGGGAAATCGGAGCTAATACCGCATAATCCGTTCTGTCGCATGGCATAACGGCAAAGGTTTCGGCCGCTTGGGGATGGGCCTTTTAAAAGCGTCTATATCACGGTAGTTGTGTGATGAGGTAAAGGTCCCACAAGCATGACGATGATAGCTGTCTGTTGTAGGATGATCAGCCAGAGGGGGACTGCGACACGGCCCCCACTCCTACGGGAGGCAGCAGCAGGGAATCTTGCGCAATGGGCGAAAGCCTGACGCAGCGACGCCGCGTGCGGGAAGAAGGCCTTCGGGTTGTAAACCGCTTTTCTGAGGGAAGAGAAAGGACGGTACCTCAGGAATAAGCCTCGGCTAACTACGTGCCAGCAGCCGCGGTGATACGTAGGAGGCAAGCGTTGTCCGGATTTACTGGGCGTAAAGGGCGTGTAGGCGGTACAGAAAGTCTTTGCTTAAATATCCCGGCTCAACTGGGAGAGTGGCAGAGATACTTCTGAACTAGAGGACAGTAGAGGAGAGTGGAATTCCCGGTGTAGTGGTGAATGCGTAGATATCGGGAGGAACACCAGTGGCGAAAGCGGCTCTCTGGGCTGTACCTGACGCTGAGGCGCGAAAGCGTGGGTAGCAAACCGGATTAGATACCCGGGTAGTCCACGCCCTAAACGATGGATGCTGGGTATAGAGGGTATCGACCCCCTCTGTGCCGAAGCTAACGCGTTAAGCATCCCGCCTGGGAACTACGGCCGCAAGGCTAAAACTCAAAGGAATTGACGGGGGCCCGCACAAGCAGCGGAGCGTGTGGTTTAATTCGATGCTAAGCGAAGAACCTTACCAGGGCTTGACATACGAGTGGTACCGATCCGAAAGGTGAAGGACCCTTCGGGGAGCTAGCACAGGTGCTGCATGGCTGTCGTCAGCTCGTGCCGTGAGGTGTTGGGTTAAGTCCCGCAACGAGCGCAACCCCTGTCGTTAGTTGTATTCTCTAGCGAGACTGCCCCTAAAGGGGAGGAAGGTGGGGATGACGTCAAGTCAGCATGGCTCTTACGCCCTGGGCTACACACACGCTACAATGGCGGTACAACGAGTTGCAACAGTGCAAACTAGAGCTAATCTCTAAAAACCAGTCCCAGTGGGGATTGCAGGCTGCAACCCGCCTGCATGAACGCGGAGTTGCTAGTAACCGCAGGTCAGCATACTGCGGTGAATACGTTCCCGGGCCTTGTACACACCGCCCGTCACGTCATGGAAGTCGACAACACTTGAAGTCGCTGGGCTAACCCGCAAGGAGGCAGCGGCCGAGGGTGGGGCTGGTGACTGGGACGAAGTCGTAACAAGGTAGCTGTACCGGAAGGTGCGGCTGGATCACCTCCTTTCTAGGGAGTCCCTATCAGGGAATGCTAGGTCGGTGAGTGGGCGTATCTCCAACTCTTGCAGCTACGGAATGACCACCCGTAGCAGTGACGCTCACTTTGGTCACGTTCAACATTGAACCAAAACCTTCCTTCCGCTATCTACTTGTTAAGGACAAGCAAAACCCGGTGGAGGTGGAATCCACGTTTTGCTTTCTACTAGGGGGATATCAGTAGTTAGACTCAGGTTTCCTCGGTCAGACAAAGCAACCACTTTACCCTGCACTTCTACGTTGCTTGCTGAAACAAATATAGGCTCCATTGAATGTCGTTGGCCGGCTGAGGGCGTCACCACACAGTCCCATCAATTGTAAATCCGCTTCGCTTCAGGGTGCCTCCTTTTCATTCTTCAGCCAGGCTACCACCATATCGCCATCCTTGACGTTGTCCGCTGGCTGAATAACAACCACGTCACCGTCGTCCACCAGAGCATCGATCATAGATGTGCCGCGCACCCGCAGGGCGTACAGGTTTGATGTCCCTCTCACCCGCACACCACCCAGAATGCCGTTGACCACGTCCACCTGATCAACGGGCGCTATCCGGCGTCCATCCTTCTGAAGTGGGCACCGGAATGGGCTCGCCGGCGGCTATGTAGCCCATGACAGGGACAGAAAAGGCGTCCTTGTGCCGCTTGCCCCCCCCCAGGACCTCAATGCCACGGATTCTCCGGAGAGCGACGTATGATACCCCTCTTTCTGAGAATCTTGAGGTTATAGTCCACCACGGAGGTTGAGCTTATGTTACAAGCGTACTGGATGTCTCTGACCGTGGGAGGATAACCCTGCTCCTCCAAGAACTCCTGTATCAGATCAAGGATCTTTTCTTGACGAACTGAAAGCTTTTTCAAGATATGCCCTCTCCTAAATCAAAAGATCACCGGCAAATAGTACGAATGTTCTTTCTAGTTAGTCAATGTAGCATACAAGAAAAAGATCTGTCAATGACTCATTATCGTTAACGAACGGAGTATCGTTGCTCCAAGAGTCCTGTTGCCAAAGGAGAAGGCATCAGGACACAGCGTGAAAGTCTATTTAAGAGGCAATGGGAAAACGGTATGAGATACGAGCACCGGGGGGCACCCGTGGAGAACCACACCGATGCCCTGTAGGTTCTAGTGCTGGACTCAACCCAATGCTGCCTTGAAGTGCTTCATGCAAAGTTGATCCTAACGAAGCACAGGGGCTGACTTACGGCGCGCTTAAGCCATCCGGGCAAGCCGTTTGGCCAGCCTTGATTTGCGCCTGGCCGCATTGTTGGGGTGCAATACCCCTTTTCTTACTCCCACGTCCAACACAGACTCAGCCCTGGCAACCGCGGAGGCTGCCTGGTCTCTACTGTTGGAATCCAGGGCACGCTTGGCTTCCGTAACGGCGTTTTTCGCCGAGCTTCTGGCCGTCTTGTTGCGGACTGTCTTCTTGAGAGAAACACGGTGAGATTTTTCGCTTGGCATATGAATCCTTTATCCTTGCTAGGAAGTTACCTTGGTTTTTGCTTCCAGGGGTTGGGCATCGGGCGATTTATTGAGATTCACCCTATTAACCTTGATCATCCCCTGCACTTCTTCCAACTTTGTGAACAGTCTGCTCAGCTGATTTACGTCAGTTGTAAACACGGTTAGCTCCATTATGGCAATCCCCTCTTCCGTTTCACGAGTCACCAGCGAAGCAATGTTCGCCTTTTCCCCGGAGACATAGGTAGTCACGTCTCTGAGCAGACCCAACCTGTCCCAAGCCTCCATCACCAGCCGGACGGGGTACAGATTCTTCCTATCACCCCAATCTACCTTGATTATTCTCTCGGGCTCGTCCTCAGAAATGACGTTCTTGCATCCCTTGCGGTGAATGGAGACGCCTCTATTGCGCGTAACGTAGCCAATTATTTCATCCTTTGGAAGCGGCGAGCAGCACTGTGCAATGTGGGTTAACAGATTTCCCAACCCTAGCACTTCAATACCGGAAGCAGGGCCTGTGACGGGAACCTTGTAGTCAATGCTGGGCGGTTGATGGGGTGCCATTGCAGTAAGCCTGGCTGTCACCTGGTTGACGGTTACGGCGCCGCTTCCCAGTGCATGGAAGAGCTCTTCCACCGAATCCTTATGAAAGAGGCGGGCTATCTCTTCTGCAGTGGGCGTTACGTCCAGCCTGCGCAATTCACGAGACAACAGCTCTTTGCCGCGTTCTACGTTTTCGCTCCGTTCCTGTCTACGGAACCATAGTCTAATGCGCTGGCGAGCCGTAGCGCTCCTCACATACCCCGCGTGGGGGTTCAGCCAGTCCAAGCTAGGGCCTCGAGCCACTTTGCTGGTGAGAATCTCCACCGTATCGCCGTTTTGCAGCGGGGTATCCAGAGCAGTCAGCTTGCCGGTTACCTTGGCGCCAATACACCGATGGCCCAGCTCCGTGTGCACGTGGTAGGCCATATCTATGGACGTGGAGCCGGCGGGCAGCTCTTTGACGTCTCCTTTTGGTGTATATACAAAGACCCGGTCTGGGAAGAGGTCCGTCTTGACATTTTCCAGGAACTCTTCTGCGCCGGAGACCTCGCGCTGCCAATCGAGAAGCTGGCGCAGCCAGGTCATCTTCCGCTCGAACACGGAGGTCTGATTCAGCCCCTCCTTGTACAGCCAGTGGGAGGCTACGCCATGTTCCGCCAGCCTATGCATGTCATGGGTCCGGATCTGCACCTCAAGCGGCATAGCGCCCGGACCCATCAGGGTTGTATGAAGCGACTGGTACAGGTTCTCTTTAGGCTTGGCCACGTAATCATCGAACTGTCCGGGAAGCGGAGTCCACAGCGCATGCACCACGCCCAAGGTAGTGTAGCACTCGCTCTTTTCGTCTACGAGGACTCGGAGAGCAAACAGGTCGTGAATGTCGTTGAAGTCCTTGCGCTGGGCGGCATAAGCCTGCATTTTAATTTGAATACTGTAGATACTCTTGGCTCTGCCTGTAACTTGACCTTTTATCCCGTGTTCTTTAAGTGCCTGCTCCAGTGTTCGGCGCACCTCTCCTATGTGGCGTTCTCGTTCGTCTCTCGTTTTGGACAAAAGCCGGGATATCTCGCGATACCGCGCCGGTTGAAGCTGCTGGAAAGCTATGTCTTCCAGGCGCCATTTGATATCCCACATACCCAATCTATGGGCAAGAGGTGCGTAGATATCCAGGGTCTCTTGTGCAATAGCAATCCGCCGCTCCAAGGGCACGTACTTCAGAGTGCGCATGTTGTGAAGACGGTCCGCCAACTTGATGAGCACAACTCTTAGGTCCTGGGCCATTGCAACCAGCATCTTGCGCAAGCTGGCGGCCTGGTTCCCGCCTTCAGACCTGCTCTGATCACCATCGTCAATATCAGACGTGCGGAGACCCAGGCGGTTGAGCTTGGTAACACCGTCGACCAAGTGAGCAACCTCAGCCCCGAACTCAGCATCCACCTTCTCTAGGGAAACGTCACAATCCTCTATGACGTCATGAAGCAAAGCGGCAGCTATCGTCGTGGAGTCCAGATGCAAGTCTGCCAGGTATAATGCGGTTTCAACGGGATGATTTATGTACGGTTCACCGGAAAGCCGCATCTGGCCGTTGTGCGCCTCCGCAGCGAATTCATAAGCCTTGCAGACAAAAGCAACGCGATCATCAGGCAAGTAGCTCTGCACTCTTGTAAGAAGATTCTTCAAAGCACCTGTCACCCTATCTTAAGACTGTACAGTCAAAGTATAACTCAACTGACGGACTGGGACAAAATGCGGACATGAGGATCGCTGATTCAAGGGATAACGGCACATGTATTCTTGTTGTCTTTACTAAGGCGTATGCCTAGAGTATTCTGGTTTGAAACCCTATTTTGAGGTTCCCTTGTACAGAGCACCCAGAGGCACGTCGGACCAATTACCTCAGGAACAGAAATACCGGAAATACGTTGAGGACACGGCTGCGCTGGTATGCCGCACATTTGGATTCGAAAGAATCGACACACCTATTTTCGAAGCTACTGGACTTTTTGTACGCACGGTTGGAGAGGAAACGGACGTGGTGCAAAAGGAGATGTATACGTTTGAAGACCGGGGTGGAGATTCCTTGACGCTGAGGCCTGAAGGCACGGCGCCGGTGTGCCGCGCCTATATTGAGCATGGCATGTCCAATCTGCCTCAGCCTGTACGGCTCTACTACTGCTGCCCCATATTCAGATATGAAAGGCCGCAGGCGGGCCGGTTCCGGCAGCACAACCAGTTTGGAATTGAAGTTATCGGCGATGCCGACCCCTTGGCGGACTTAGAGGTGGTCCAGCTTGGTTGGACGTTCACCAGGAACCTTGGACTGACCAACCTGACCCTTGCGATCAACTCTATAGGCGATAAGGGATGCCGCCCAGCTTACTTGAAGAAGCTGAAAGAGTACTATCTAGTGCACCTGCACCAGCTATGCGACTGACTGTCGTACGCGGTTTGACAGTAACCCTTTGAGGCTATTGGACTGCAAGCAGACCGGCTGCCAGCCTTTCATAAGGAACGCACCGCCTTCCACTGAAAATCTGTGCCTCAACTGCCAGCGACACTGGGACGCTTTGCGGGGACATCTGAAACAACTGGGGATACCGTACAGAGAGAATCATCGCCTGGTTAGAGGGTTGGACTATTACACCCGCACAGTTTTTGAGATCCAGCCTCCGGAAGAGGGAAGCCAAAACACCGTGTTGGGCGGCGGACGATACGACGGTCTAATCGAGCAGCTGGGAGGCCCTGCCACGCCTGGTGTGGGTTTCGGCAGCGGTATAGAGCGGCTGATAGCTAATCTGAAGCGCCAGGGTGTTGCACTGCCTGACAGATCGCCCAGGCCAGTGGTGATTACAGGTCTAGGAGAAGGGGCCCAGAGCAAAGGCGTGGAGATCGCGGCCGCTCTCAGAGAAGCCGGCGTTTCCGTACTGATTGCTTCCTCAAACCGCAGCCTCAGAGCCCAAATGCGCTACGCTTCCACTATGAACGCAAGCTTCACCGTAATCATCGGAGAAGATGAACTGGTTAGAGGTAAGCTGGGCGTTCGGGACATGGACAACAGCGTCCAGCGAGAAGTACCTATGCTTGAGATCGTCGATTACCTAACAAAGGCTGCCACAACCTAGAATACCAAGTTCAGGGCCCTGTGAAGGCCACCGGCAGTGTTGTAAGTAGCCGTTGTGTCACTGCGCAGGCCTTCCATATAAAACTCAATTCTGCTGTTCAAGTAGAGGCTGTTCACAGCACCTACGGTGAGAATGTACTTCCCGGCATCCTCCACTTGCGCCGCAATCCAGAGGTCTCCCAGCGAAGAATTGATTACCCTAGCGTAAACCAGCGTTCCTTCCTGGGCCGGTTGCCCGCGCAGGCTCACAGTTCCACGGAAGATGAGCGGCGGCGGCGGCGGAGCATTGGGGCTGGGAGGAGGAGTGGGCCTTGCCGTATAGTCTATAGAGATGGATCCGGTCTGAAGAGAACCCAGCTGTTGCATAACGTTGTCAGAGGCAAGTGCATAGCCGGCAGGGTTGACTATGAGGCCAAGGTTCTGTACGAATGCACTGTCTACGTTTATCCCCACAATCTGGCCGTCCCTGTTCAGCACGGGGCCGGCTTCCATGCCCCTTTGAGGTTGCAGATTAAGCTCAAAGAACCGCAGCCCTAAAGTAAAGTCATCCTTGATATCAGAGATCTCTGCTTGCGCGGGGAACACTTGCTGAGAACTCCGATTGGGGTAACCAAAGGAGATCACCGCCTCGCCTACCCGCAAAGGCCCGGAAGATCCCAACTCTAAGCCAGGCAGATTGGTGTTAGAGGTACGGATCAAGGCCAGGTTCTTGAAATCGTCGCGGCCTACCACCCAACCATCAATACGCTGGCCATTTTCGGCCTCAATTTCCACTATGGGGCCAACTCCCAATAATCTGCTAGCAGCCAGGACGTGGCCCGCAGGCCTGTTGAGGACGACACCAGATGATTGGCCTCCATCAGAGAACACCTTGACCACTGAAGGGCGCGCCAATGGTATCACGGTTTCCAAACGTGGCGTAGGTGTTGGCGTTGGCGTAGAGGTTGGCGTCGGCGACGGTGTGGGTGTAGCTGTTGGTAAAGGCGCCGGCGTGGCTGTAGGAGTAGCCGTAGGTGTAGGTGTAGGTGTAGCTGTCGGAGTTGGCGCAGGCACAAGCGTCGCTGTAGGAGCAGATACCGTAGTCGGAGTTGCGGTTGGGTCGGGACTAGTGCAAGCAGCGAGTATAATCAGGTAAACGGAGGCTATACTAAGAAGAGCCAGGATCTTGTGAATACGCATTAAAGCTCCAGGATAATGTAAAATATTAGAATAACCCTATGTTTATTCTAATATACGTATATCCTTTTGCAAGCAGAGTTTCGCCAGTCTTGCTGTACTCTTGCCAAATCACACGGTCACAAACTCCCGACATAAGAGAAGGATGATGCTAGACAGATTAGCCGAAATGGAACTTCGTCTTAACGAGATCGATGAGTTGATGGCGAGTCCAAGCGTAGCCGTAGACACCGCGCGATTGATTAGCTTGAGCAGAGAAAGGGCTAGCCTAGAACCGGTGGTCAACTCCTACAAAGAGTACCTTGAAATCCAACTTTCCCTGGAGGATACACAAAGTATCATCAGGGAAGCAGATGACCCTGATTTTGTGGCACTGGCTAAGGAAGAGGTCGCTTCCCTAGAGGATAAAAGAAGCGTCCTTGAAAAGGATCTGAAGCAGGCACTAATACCCACAGACCCCTCAGATACAAGAAACGTCTTCGTGGAAATACGCGCTGCCACCGGGGGAGACGAAGCTTCGCTATTTGCCGGGGACCTTTACCGGATGTATTCTCGCTATGCTCAACTTCAACGCTGGCAAGTTGACCTAGTCGACACTCACGAATCGGAGGTTGGCGGCTTCAAAGAGATAATTTCACAGACCAACGGCAGGGGTATAACAGCTAACCAAGTAGAAGCGGCCGCCAACCGGGTGCGATGGTCCCTTTACGGAAGTCCTCTGGCAGATTGCACACGTCCACAGCTACCGTGGCCGTTCTTCCGGAGGCGGAAGAGGTTGACATCGATATCAAAGACGAGGACCTGAGAATAGACATTTTTCACGCGGGCGGTCATGGCGGACAAAATGTAAACAAAGTTGCCACCGCGGTGCGCGTTACCCATCTGGCCACCGGAATAGCGGCCGTGTGCCAGGATGAAAGGTCGCAATTGCGCAACAAAGAAAAGGCGCTGAACGTACTCAGAGCACGCTTGTTGACAAAGCACAACGAGAACAGCAAGAAAGCCTTAGCCAGGAAAGGCGGAGCAAGGTGGGCACTGGAGAACGCTCCGAGAAAATCAGGACTTATAATTTCCCCCAAGACCGCATTACAGACCACAGGATCAACAAGAGCTTCCACAACATTCAGTCCATTTTAGATGGCGAGATGTCGCCGATTGTTGAGCCCCTCAGAGAATATGAGCAAAATCAGCGAATGGAAAGCCTCTGGAACAACAGCCACAGTTCGTGAAACGGTTCTCAACATAAGTAAGTCGCTACACAGACGCGCGGGAATTGCCGAACACCTCCTGGAGGCTGAGCTTCTGCTAGGCGCGGCCCTGGGAATGGATCGTGCAGCTTTGTACACGTCTTTCAATGAAGACGTATCCGGTTCCGGCCTACGTAAAGTAGATATAAGCTATGGACGAGGAGAACTGAAGCGCCAAAACCCCGGCCATATCTTCTGGTTACCGCGAATTCTACGGACTGTCCCTAGAAGTAAACCCCGGCGTATTTATTCCCCGACCGGAGACGGAGATACTGGTGGACGAGGCTATGCGTCTGGCCAAGCAGACTCCAATACGGCCCCCGTTGAGGATAGTAGAGGTAGGCACAGGATGCGGTGCAATAGCCGTAGCTTTGGCCTCATGCCTGGTCAACGTAGATATCCACGCTACTGACATCTCGCGGCAGGCCTTGGCCACAGCCCAGGCCAACGCCGAGCACCACGGGCTGCGGAATCGCATAGAGTTCATACACTGCGACCTGTTGTCTTGCTTTTCCGGACCGATAGATGTGTTGATAGCCAATCTACCCTACGTGAGGAGCACCGCCATTTCATCGTTGGAGCCTGAGATACGGATGTTCGAACCGCGAGAGGCGTTGGATGGCGGTGACGACGGCCTTCGTCTGATCAGGAGGCTTCTGGGGGAAGCGCGCCCTGTGTTACGGGGCAAAGGTGTCATCCTGCTGGAGATGGACCCGCACCAAATGGACAGCGTAGAGATGGTAGCCAGAAGCCATTGGCCTAGCGCGACAACCAGCAGACACAAAGACCTTGCCGGATTGGATAGGGTGCTGGCTATACAGTTGTCCGGCTGCTAGAGTTCCATCACCACTTTGAGGACTTCGTCCTGCTTTTCACTGTACATTTGGAAGGCCTGCCTTGCCTCTGCAAAGGGCAGTACATGGGTCACCAGATGCTCCAGGCTAAGCCTATTCTGAGCCACCAAGTCCACGCAGTGCTTGATGTGGCTTGTGGGATCGTTGGGCGGTCTGGAGCTGATGGTAGGCAGGATGGTAGCAAGGCTGCTCATCATTGCATCGTAGTTGATGGGAAGCACGTCTTCATGGTGGGGCTGCCCGAACAGTACGGCCAGACCCATCTTGCGGATGACCTGGAACATCTGGTTGATAGTCTCAGCCTCGCCGGCGGCCTCTATCACTACATCGGCCTGATGCCCGTTGGTGATTTCAGCCACTGCATCGATGACATCTTCCTTGGACGAATTGATCGTGTGGTGGCGCCCAATTGCTTGGAGACCTCCAATCTATTAGTCGAAAATCAAACGTGATGACCTTGCCGGGAACCTGAGAGCCATCCAGTACGTAAAGTTCAGTCCAATGGGCCCCTGACCCATGATCACTACCCGTTTGCCAAGGACGCTGCCCAACCGGTCGCAGGAGTACATCACGGTGCCCATGTGCTGGCACATAACCCACGTGGAAAGGTCTCCATCGTCCGGGAGAGGAATTACGCGGCTGGGCGGTTCGGCAAGGTATTCAACCAAGCCAGCGCTAGTGGAAGGAAGCGCTATTACTCGCTGGCCCAACCTTAGATCATCGGTGCGGCTCTCCACAATGACGCCGGCGCATTCGTGACACGGTCTGGCGTAATCCAGCGGGTACTGCTCCTCCGGCAGGACTCTATCAAAGATGCGCAAGTCACTGCCGCAGACGGAGAGCCTCTGGAGCTGTATCAGCACCTGGCCGTCTTTGACCTCAGGCATTGGGATGTCGTCAAACTGCAGCTGCTGGGGACCGACGACACGAGCTGCTTGCATTAGCTTTACCTCCGCATGGATGGGTTGGATTCCGCAAGGTAATCTATCATCAAGACGGAGGAGTTCGCCAGCCGCTTAACCGGCGTGTGGCTAAAACAACAGTGACCGCCGATTGATGATTGATTGGCCATGGATTGTCGGATATAGTCAGCGACAGGAATGCTCCCAAGGAGGGCTGACACGATGAGCACAGAGACCCAAACAAACATGGCGGGCAAGGTTATCACGGTGAACGGCCCCGTGAACCCCGACCAGCTGGGCGCCGCCATAATGCACGAGCACGTATTCATAGACTTCTGGCGCGACAAGACGCTTGGATTCAACGCCCCGGCCACGGATGTTGAGATATGGGAGCAGAAGCTGACGCTG